CCCAGCTGTGGTTGTGCTCTTGCACAAACACTACATCTACAATCAAACTAATGAGCATCTCATGAAACCATACCATGCTTCCTAGAATTTCTCCAGTCCATTAACAGTTTAGAGAGACTCTTGAATTTGCAATGAGATTTCCTTTAAAGTACTGCAACCACCTTTATCCCCCTTCCCATTTTTACGCCCTTATCTTTCAATCACCATTCTGTGATCTGCATTTCACATACCCCTTGCCCCTGCCCCCCAAGGTCCATGCTCAAACCAATTCAAGCCCAAACCTTTTTGCCGAAACGCTTTGCCGAGTGAGCACCACGTCCACGTCCGAGGGCATCGCCCGTCTCTTCCGACAACGCGAGCCTTTCTCCCCCACCTCCAACCAGAAGCCATCCCCGTGCACAACCCGCCACCACCATGCCCTCTCAACCCAGCCTCAACCTGGGTCTCATGGACATGCACTCCCCCCCCTCTCACCACCTGGAACCCAGCAGTATCCAGTGGCCCATCCCCACAAGCCCCTCAACTGTGACCTCCTCCTGGGTCCCTAACAGGTCGTGGAGGACTGAAATCAATGGTAGCCTCCACTCCCTGTCCTCACCAAGTGACACCACATCTCTGTCTCCGTGCCTGCTCGCAACCGCATGACCCCCTCGGAAGAGTTACAACACTCTCCTCCCTTCAGGCCTCCTCGACCTCCACACTAATTCAAAGCCTTGTTCAAGAAACCGACTCAGGATTGTGCCAATTCAACGTCTCAAGGTCCTCATGATCCTCCCTTTTGCTGCTTCCTTCTGCCTGTGTACACCTGTGTTTTAACACACTGCACACAATGTGATCAATTGCACCGCATAATCGACAGGTACGTCGTTGCCCCTATGTCACCATTAATTGGAGCCCTGAAGTCCCCCCTTCAAGAAAATATAGGAAGGCATATATGCCTCAATGTCATTTTTTAGAAAGAAAAACTCCTTTCAGTCATCCCAGCAAACGATCCTTCCTTCCCCTTCCTTCACCCACGATATGGCAGACACATCATGTAGCCTTACCGTCACTGCAGGATTACTGTACACAAATATCTTGAACCGTGGCGACTATGTCCTCGGTATACACCCCCCCCCTTCCATTGCGAAATTTCTCAAAAATGCTATGCCCCGTTTCAAGGCTACACCATACAGCTCTTCGATGGCAATGCCGTATGTGTCCCTGAATGATGGCAGGTAATAAAACCTTGAGCTTAAGTGACATGCACAGCCCCCACGCACCACTTCTATCCGACAGGGTTTACCCTTTCTTCTTGCCTGCTGCGCCATTTTGAAAACCAAGTTGTCCACCGCCTGACAGCAAGTGCCAGCTCAGCTCACTCCGCTCGTCCCAGAGGTGTAGCGAGATGATCCACATACACAGTATAGCTAATGCGGCGCTTGATTGGGGTCCCCTATCAGCGCATCTTAGCGCGTTTCGAAAGAAAAGCAGTTTGATTTAATGCAGAATCATCAAATCTAGGGAAATCCCGGGAGATAGAGGAAGATTAGGTTGTTATTGACTTTGACGTTGATAGCGTCAAATGGCTTTTGATAAATACCTTAATGAAGAAGGAAGTTAAGTCAAACTACATAGTTTTTCTTGTTCGGATGGAGATGTCTCTGAATGTGGTTGAGAAAGGTCGCCTGAATGCTTTAGAGGAGCGGAGTGATAGTCCCCAAAAAGGAAGAAGATGGTAGCAAGAAACTCCGGCTAATTTGTAGTGATTGCCTTTTAATATCTGATTGATTGGCCCAGAGGAATATATGTTTATGGGTCTTAGGTAGTCCATATATGGGTGCTAGTATAGGGCTGCTGGGTATCAAGTGTAGAAGTTTCAATCCTTTGCATAGATCGTCCTAAGTACTTGTATCGGTTGGCATATGAATTCCACTTGGTGGAGTTCTCACACTGCTGTGTTGGTAGGCTCGTATGTAGACCTGCTCGTTCAAAAGGCCAATCATGTTGTGTTGTAGTCGCTGGTGTTGATTGAACTCCTTCCTCCACTCTTTAAATGTGAATCATCTTCTACAAATCTTCCAAGACGTTATATAATTACCAGATGGAATCTGCTAATGACCCAAATATTAATCGTCACCTCACCGACATAGAGTTGGAGTCGTCCACTCAACAACAGTGACTAAAACCATCAAACTGAATGAGCCTTTATGAACGATCAGTCACATACGAGCCCATCCGCATTACAAAAGTGAGAGACCCTCACCAAGGAATTCCCATGCAAAACCAGACAAATACTTAGACACGCTAGTGAAGGGAAGAAGCTTCTGCACTTGATGCCCAGCAGCCTTATACCAGCACACATATATGGACTACCTAAGACTAATAAACATAATATTCCTCTTAGACCAGTCACATCAGATGTAAGAAGTGCACCATACAAATTAGCCGGAGATCTCGCCAAACATCTTTCTTGCCTTCTAGGGACCATCAGCTCCGTTCATCTTAAGCATTCAGGCGACCTTCTCAACCGCATCAGACACATCTCCAACCGAAACATGAAACTAAGTAGTTTCGACGTAACTTTCCTCTCCACTACAGTACCCACCAAATAAGCCATTGACGTTCTCGTACGTAAAGTCAATCAGGAACTGAATCTTCCTTTACTTTCCGGAGATTTCATTGATCTAAATGAACTCTGCATTAAATTCAACTGCGTTTCTTTCAATAACTGGCTCTATAAACAAACTTATGGTATGGGAATGGGGGGTCCCCCATCAGCGCCGTCTTAGCTAACTTGTATATGGAACACCAGGAAGCTAAACGCTTCGCCATCATCCCTACCAGAGTCACTCGGTTAGGTTTTGCGGACGACGTCCTTACAATAACTCCCAAACAGTTTGATGTGCGGAATCTTCAGGCAAGGCTCATCACAGATGAACCGGCTATCTTGTTTACAAACTAGATAACAATCTAGGGTTTCAAGTTTACAGGAAGCCTACAGACAAGAACGATTTAACAAACTTCTATTCCAGTAAAGATATTAAGACCAAAAGAGGCATCATCAATGGATTTTTCCTAAGAGCATACCTAATTTGCAGTCCAGAGTTTCTTGACTAGGATTGTACATACATACACAAAACTTTCACTGATCTACGTTTCTCTTCCTGTTTCATGAAAGACTGCAAGAAAAAAAACCTTCAGATCATCAGTTCTCCATACACTAACACTACAACCAACAAAGCTAGTCCTTCACTACAGGCAGGTTGCATTAAAAGTTTCTGAAGTGCTCGCTCAAACTAACGTTAGAGTCGTCCTCGCAACCAATACTTCCATAAAAGAACTGACTAGGAAGAAGCTGAGAAACATTGAACCAATCAACGCAGGTGTTTATACTATCCCCTGTGGAGGCTTTGACAGAATATACGTACGTGAATTAGCAAGAAATCTCGAAACACGTCTCAATGAGCACATTAATGCAAGTAGAAACGATAACTTGAACAAAGCCTGCGTATAATACCGAAATTCGGCCAACCACCTGATGAAATTCTACGACGCCTACCTAGTGATTTAAGAATTCAATTTCCTTAGACGTAAATGCCCTGAATCATCATTAATAGCTATTTCTTAGAAAATTAAACAGAATCAATGCAGCTTCATTATCTCTGAGGTATTAGCAAAAATTCTCCTCAAAACAATAAACCCCGCCATCACATAGCTGCTACCACTACTTCCATTACTACTACTACTACTACTACTACTACTACTACTACTACTACTACTACTACTACTACTACTATTACTATTACTGTTACTATTACTACTACTACCACCACCACAAGTACTACAACTACTACTACTGCTACTACCACAAGTACTACAACTACTGCTTCTACCACAAGTACTACAACAACTACTACTACTACTTCTGCAACTATTACTACCACCACAAGTACTAGTACTACCTACAACGATTATATTATGCTTTGTAACTATGTATTAATATATACCTCTCTATGTCCCTGTAATGTTGTAACGGCTTGACAAAGCTCCTGGAGAGCGAAACGTTGCCACAATAAAATGTCACATTAGTTGCGCTTGTGTCCTTTTGCCTAACTTATTGTCGGTAATTCTACCATTATTATTGTATCACTTGTTGTCTTCAGGGACGAGGGAAGGTTAATACTGGAGAAGGCCTTTTGATCTAAGCAAGTTCAATTACCCTGCCCTTTCTTGTATCAAACTTGATTACCTCCTAATCCCAAATTTCTGCAAGAACCCAGTGCGATTTGTTCGTCCTCAAGAATAAAATAAAAAATAGATATATTTCGGTGGCCGAGTGATCCTTGAATGGAATCCTCTGTTCCTTAATTTACAAGATTAGAGTGACTCAGAATGTTGGATAATTTGATGTTGCAATAAGTTATTAGAGTTCAAGGTTTGATTGGAATTAGAAGACTCATTTACAAGTCACTATGTGGATACTAATATTCAAATATCTTCAAATAATACGACATACATAAGCTAATTCTAATTAAAATCTTTCAAAGAAACCCAAGAGATCATTATCCTGCTATACACATTATGTTGAACCCGCTCAGATGTTGCACAGTTAGGTGGTTGTAATGGAAAGTTGAAAATAATCAGACGACACTTAGAAATAATTCCACGAGAAGCTTCATTTAAATTTATCCAATGTCTTCCACAATAAAGCAAACTGGAACCTACATAGGCCAAATTTTGATTTAAAAAATTAGCAGATGATAACTTACACAAACTAACATCAAGAGAGTGTTTATTTTGAAAAAAAAAAAAAACACGTCAGCTCTAAAAGTTGGCCAAAAGATGCATTTTTTAGTTATTTCGGAGAATCCAACCAAATTTTTGTAATAATTTCTCCAATTATTATTATTATGACTATCAATAAACTCAAATAAACTGTTAAACCCGTAAGTGTTACATCGAGCAGCCACAAGAAAAAATTTCCACCAATGAATCAAATATACGTGTTTCTTTCTCAGATGTGGAAGAGGTTGTGATGGGGTTATGGAAGGCCGGGGTGACTCTGGAGGTGCACCTCGACTACCTTCCACCACAGGAATTACCTCAGGCAGATTTCAGCTCTATAAATATCATGGGAAAAGAGGATAAACAAGAAACATTGTGGATGAGGGTTAACTGGAGATTCTTGTACGGTCGTGGCCCTCTGCACCGGTGCCACATGGCCCTCCTGGTGGTGGGCCCCATGCCATGGGCCCTCGCTGCTGCTGTTCAGGTCATCTGTTTATGCTCTATTGTTATCTCATGATATTTCGTAATGAGGATGAGTCTTCACGTAAAAAAAACTAAATCTAATATATTTATAGAACTTTTGATTAGTACTATGTCACTATCAAACTAATAACTATCATGAACATTTATTAAATATTTCAGATGATGTCCAGAGCAGTGTTAGGAAATGTAAGTAACTAAAATTTTAATAGTTTTTTAGAGTTTGTATTAAAATATGTTTCAAGTCTCACTGTACACTCAGTGTACTAGTTATTTCAATATTCTGATGATAGTGATTGACTTTTCTTGCTATAATAAGGTTGTTATAAGCAACTAATAGGATTTGTTGCAAGCTAGAGAGAAGTAACATTTGCAGAGTCGATAGAGAAAACAAAAGCTTGTTAATATATAATATGTAGCGGAGGGTTTCAAATAGTATTGCGAAGTAACTTGAAATGTATGTACAAATACAAAAAAATAATGATCTGTAAAATTGTTAGGAATTATCATATGTTAAAACTGGTGAAAAAAAATGTCATGGTATGAAAAGTTAAAATAATCTTAATTATATAACTATGATAAACACACTATAATGAACAACATTTTGAGCAGCAAGTGATGTAGTTTGAAAATCATCTAAGTTTATTTTTTTTAAGCTATCTTTATACAATAAAAATATAATTAATTTAGGGGCCTGGTGACACCCAGTGACTATCTTCGATCAGTTAACTACAATTAAATATAATTCTTCCCTTCCCCTGGAGTCGGGGAAGACGTGAAGCGAGATAAAGTGTTGGAGATGAATAAATCGGGTTGTGCTGATCAGTGCAGGAGGTACAGTATACAATTATGTTAAAATTTAGGCTGATTTTTGGCTGGCGTGTTTGCCCAAGTTCAGTATAACCTCACTGTCGAGAGTTGAGTGGGATTTTGGGCGAGATGAGTACAATCATCAATGATATAAAAGGACCACTGTGTAGTGGAGTACTCATCTTTGTCGGCGACTGCTCAAGACACCTGCAGCCTCTGCCAGGGTCTCGCCTCCGATGTCTGCTTTCTAATTATCCATCAGGGCTGGAAAGAGTTATTATAACCAGTGTTTATACTCGCCCTGCTGACTCATGTTATTCGAGTGTGGCAGGTATATCACCAGGAAGTCGTAATGACCCTTACCTGTGTTTTGGGCTTGGGCCCTCTCATCACGGCCTAGAATGGTTGGCCCTATTCACCTAACATCGATCCTAGGCACTGCAGTGGTAATTAGCCCGTTACATTGAGCCAGATGGCTCACTGTAATGGGAGCCGGTGACGTTACGTGGAAGAGCGGCTGCCATTGGCTTAACTGAATAGATCACACGGGACGCCAGCACTGCTGTTGTCTGTTGGGCACATGGAACGTCGCCTGATGACTATAACTTGTCCACTAGTTCGACTAGCCAACTATATCTCTGGATAATGTCCACAAGTAGGGAGAAAGTCCTGGAGATTGTCAGCGCACGACTTGGGATTTACGTATACACACTGCAACTGCAAGCCTGTTACAGCCTCCCACCCTCTATTTATGGGTGGATATCTGCTGACATAGTGTTTACAGGCATTGGGTGCTGGCTCTGGTGACTCAATACAATCAAAAGTCTAAGCCACGGGATAAGTATAATGACACTAGCTATATTGTCAGGTTAGAGGCAGACTATCTTGAATTTTTCCTGGTCTTGGGAAATAGCAACTTCCCCAGACAAACACGTAAATATAAGGTGCTGCAGATTCTCTGCTGTACATTTGTGAATATCGTGTAACCATTTTCTTCTACCATAGGTCTGCAGTCCCATTAGAGTCTGTCTGATTCTGAAGAGTCAGGGACATGTGTTAAGATAAATGGGCATACTGGTATGCTTTAATGATGCTATGTAGCTAAACACAAGACCTTGCTTTATCTCAGCTATTGTGAAAAGAATAGGTCATGACCCTCTCATGAACACTCCTGCTGCCAGTGTGGGAAAAAAGAGACAGAGGGGTATTAGCTCCTTCGAGAGAGGTTGCTGCCCCCCTGAGAGGGGTCGCCCCCTCTGGTTTCGAGAAAATTTCTCTACAAGAGTGGTCCTGTAGTATAGTGTGTCACTGTTTACTCGTTAACATTGTATGGGAACTTAAATTAAATAATTAAAAAACGACTGTCACTGAATAAACAGAAGGATAGAAGGGAGGATCGAACCGTGGTCCCAATGTTGACAGGCCCAATTGGTGCCTCTGATGGAAACATGTACAGAAATACTGTTTCCGAATCTTCCCTATTAGAACTCCTATAACCGAAGCGGTAGAGAGCTGGACCTGTCAATCACGGGACCACGGTTCGATCTGCTGTCCATCCCTTTGTTTATTTAACGTTGTATAGGTTAAAGTTCTAAGACATATATGTATGTGTATGACGTCTTTGTGGAATTTTTTTTTGGATATTGAAATTAACCAGGCCAATGATCTGCTTCGGTCTACGGATGTCGCTAACAAAGTTCAACCCAAGACTCAAGGATTATGGTTTTAGTGTTGGCAAAAGCTCTGTTGGAAAGGGTGCCGTATCTAGTCTCTTAATTTTCTACTAGGTACTGTGTGAGTTGTGTCGGTCGAGTTTCTGTTCTAGATTTCTTTAATGCATCGAGTGTATTTATCAAGTTTACTATGAAGGAAAGTCACATGTCTTTAGCTTTATGAAAAGCGTCCATAATGGTGACAGATTCATCATGACATCACTGAAGTGGAGGAGGGAAGGGAAACGCATGACAATTGAGTTATACAGGATGGGGTAAACATAGAGGATGGGGTAAACATACAGGATGGGGTAAACATACAGGATGGGGTAAACATACAGGATGGGGTAAACTTACAGGATGGGGTAAACATACAGGGCGTAAACCAGCTTTATAACATAATTCTCAAATGTACTTCAGAGCCACGATTCCATTCATCTCACTTCATGTTCTATTCCCCGGACTCTTTGTACTGACCACTACTGATTTCTCTAACCTTGTAATTGTTACCATGTACATGTTCAACAACATAAGAACATAAGAACATAAGAACGAAGGAACACTGCAGAAGGCCTACTGGCCCATGCGAGGCAGGTCCAAGTCTCCTACCGGCTTAAGCCAATGCACCCAACCTAGTCAGGTCAGGTCACATTGACTTAAGGGAGGAACACGGCAACCGACCTGGTAGCACAAGCTATCAGGTCTAACTCACACCCACCCACATCTACTCATGTATTTATCCAACCTATTTTTAAAGCTACACAACGTTCTGGCCTCTATAACGGTACTTGGGAGTTTGTTCCACTCATCCACAACTCTATTACCAAACCAGTACTTTCCTATATCCTTCCTGAATCTGAATTTTTCCAACTTAAAACCATTGCTGCGAGTCCTGTCTAGGCTAGATATTTTCAGCACACTATTTACATCCCCCTTTTTTTATTCCTGTCTTCCATTTATACACCTCAATCATATCCCCCCTAATTCTACGTCTTTCTAGAGAGTGCAGTTTCAGGGCCCTCAGTCTATCCTCATAGGGAAGGTTTCTGATACATGGATCAACTTTGTCATCCTCCTTTGTACATTTTCCAGAGAAAATTTTTATCCTTCTGTAATACGGTGACCAAAACTGTGCAGCATAATCTAAATGAGGCCTAACCAAGGATGTATAGAGTTGAAGAACAACCTGAGGACTCCTATTATTTATGCTTCTTGATATGAAGCCAAGGATTCTATTAGCTTTATTGCGAACACTTATGCACTGTTGTCTTGGTTTCAGATTACTGCTAACCAGAACTCCTAAATCTTTTCGCAATCCGTAATATTAAGATCTAATTTTTTAGTTTTTGTGGCATGGTTATTGTCCTTCCAACTTTTTAGAACTTTGCTTTGTCTATAAAAAAAGCTCTGCCCTTCTCCGACCTGCATCAGTCTATTAAAAATTTTTGGGAGTGCTCGAATGCCTTTCAAAGAATTCGAGGGCCCTTTTTTGGGTGTATGGGCAAATTGCCGATGTCGTCTTTACCCCCTCATCATGCGTTTATTAGATTGTAAACGCGGGGGGCCCAACCGCCCCCTTGGAACACCGCTCGTGACGCTTCCCCCTCTGTTTTCCCCTTTATGCAAACTCTCTGCTCCTTTTTGCAACCTGCCTCTACCCGGGAAAAAATTTTTCTCCTCCTTTCCATGTGCTTTAATTTCCCATAGTCTCTGATGGGGGAACCTGTCAAAAGCCTTACTGAAGCCCAAATACAATATCAATTCATTACCATGATCTCCTCCTAAATTTTCCTTAGTAAAAAAAGTTAATAAATTCGTAAGGCGGAACCCCCCTTTGTAAAACCATGCTGAGTTCGGATTAATTTGTTTTTCAAGGTGGTACAAACACCCTCGGAAAATTTTTGATTCCAAAAATTTTTTTCCCCCTATGGAGGTTAGGCTTTTTGGGTCAATGTTCGAAGCTAAGGCCCTGCACCTTTTTTAAAAAAGGTATACATTTGCCATTTTCCCTTACTGGCACCATCCCTTTTGTAGTGAATGTTAAAAAAGATTACCCAAAGGTGTGCTAAGCTCCTCTTTACATTTTTTAAAACCCTTGCATACATTCATCGGGGCCCGGGGGATTTGTTGGGTTTTAATTTATCTTTTTGCTAAGGCCCATGTCACTTTTTGACCCAAAAGGCACAGTTTTTATCGTCCTGTTCACATAATTTTTATTACTGAATTCGTGGTATCCCGTGTAAAACTGGAGGAAATATTTTTAAAAAAATTTTACACATTTCCTTATCCTGTTTTAGTGGCTGACCCCAGGAACTTTTGATGGGCCATCTTGTCCCCGATTTTCTTCTTATACCTGAAAAAAATCCCTTTTTGGGGTTTGTCTTCGTTCTCTTGCAACTTTTTAAACCCCATAATCTTTTTTGCTTTTCTAATTCCCTTTTTATTTCTCCTTTACTGAAAATACGATTTTCAATTTCCCCTTCCCCTTTTGATTTGCCCATTATGCCTCTCTTTTGACCAAACAGATATTTTAATCTATTGTTCACCATTTAGGATCTTTTTGTTTGATTTATTTCCCCATTTGGAACATAATTTTACTGAGCAGCGAACTACCCTGGAAAAGCTATATCGGAACCATCCCATACCCGACCCCCTAGTCAGGGCATTCCCGTTTAGCCCCCCAAGTAATTTTTCTTTTATGAAATCAGCCAAGCGAAAGTCAGGGGCGGAGACTTGATTTTTCCTTATTTGGGGAATTCTGATATATTAAAACTGAGTGATTGTGATCACTTTCCCCAAACTCATCATAACCCAAGATTATTAATTAGTGTTTCCCTATGGAAGAACCAATAAGGAGGTTTTTCCCCCAGTTGGCTCTGTCACAAAAAGTTTTAAAAAACAATCTGGGTCGTTCAAGAAATCCCTGACTCTAAATTTCCCGTCAAAATTTCTCCAGTCAAACGTCATAGTTGAAATCCCTTAGCACAACATTTTGTATGTAGATGGGCCTTTCGAATTTTGCCCATAGAAGTTTACTGCACTCCTTTTAAGTTTTTGGGGGCCCGAAACACACCAAAAAATTTGTTTTTCTCGGCCCTCGAGAAGCTGTAAACCAAAAAAGATTCAGTGGGTGACGCTTCTAAATTTAATACTGTCTAACACAACAATTTAAATTGCTCTGAATAACGCTACTCCACCCCCCTTTCCGTTGACCCGCAGTGTGGGGTAAAATTTTAGCCTTGTATGTGACATTCAGAGGGAAACTCTCTATTTCGATTGAGCCCGGTCTCTGTTAAGCAAAATATCTATGTTTCCGCACTTGCAATTAATCTTTGCTCATCTATCTTATTTCTTTCACTCCTGCTATTAGATAGTAAACCCAAGGGGCTAGTCCCTTTCTGCCCTCTGCTGTCCCCCTTTGTTTGCTGACCTGATCATTGTCTTATTTATAACTTATGCTGATGCCTTTATACATTTACTGTTTCCAACCAAAGGTTTTTCAACCCCTTTTTTTCCCACACAACCCATACCCCTTTTCTTCCCTCAGTTTTTAAAAACAAGGCTTTCACCAAGGCCTTCCAAAACGAGTCTGAAGGCTACCACCCCAGCCCAGAGAGATGTACCCCATCCCTTGCATACATATCATGTTTGCAAAAAAAATTGTTCCCGTTGTCAATGAAAGGGATTGCAAGTTCCTGCGTATCTGTCTAGCCAGTAATTTACACCAATTGCCCTAGAACAACCATTCATTTCCTACTCCCATTCTAGGGGAAGATGCAACATATGATTGGGATCCCTCCCTTAGACTTAATGAAATCTATAGCTGAAACCCGTACTTATCTAGCAGCTCTTCTCTCCTACCCTTCCCAATATCATTTCCACCAGCACTGAGACAGATAATGGGGTTGTTCCCCTTTTCCTACATGATATTATCCAGCCTGTTGACAATGTCCCCAACACCAGCTCCAGGGAAGCACACTCTATCTCTCATCTTCTTATTCCTATTACAAAAAGCACGGTCAATATATCTTACCTGAGAGTCACCAACCACAAGAATGCGCTTACCTCCATTAACAGGGGCAGTAGTACCCTTACCTTCACTGGCCACTGAAGTACATTCATCCTGAAGAACAGAGAAGCGATTTCCTACCTTCAGATCTTCAGTCTTAACTTTCCTTACTCTGATGCGCTTTGGTATTATTGACGTCTTATTGAAATTAGTTAACATGGCTCACAAGCCGATTTTAATTTTAGTTGACTTTGCTCGAGTATGTGTAACTTTGGTAAATTCTGCTGTTGACATTTAAAATGTATCTTTGATTCTTCTAAAAATACCTTGAGCTATATGAGTATGAGTTATTACACAGTCATCTTCATTGTAACTTGGTTTTGGACTAGAATACGTCAACTCATAGTCTTGATGTTTAACTACGCCATACAAGGCATGATGGGAGGTATCTCCTAGAGACATTGTATGTGGAATTATATGCATATTGGACATTAGGTATTACTCGGAATGATTTAATGAAGATCTACACAATGTGAATCGTCGACCCAATAAAAGTTTGTTCAACAAACGTGCCATACCTACAACAGTAGGTTTCTTTAGTTGGATTCAGAAGCAGCAGCATAACCAATAGAAACGTTAAGACGATGTAATCAGTCTATTATCCTCGAAGACGTTGGCTATAAGGTGGTCAGTCCCACAGCCTGGAGAAGAGTTCTGCTCCATAGTCTGCAACAATGTGAAACTTGAAGCAATAAAATGGACACTTATATCCTGCTTCTGCTGCCTCCTCTGTATTCGACTGAAGAAGCCTACTGTGTACGTTGAATGTTTCGGAATGAAGTTACCTAACAGGTGCAAATGTGTTTTATCAATTTGTCAGTATGGTATACCATTATGAAATTAAGACATATGTGAAACATCTGGTTATCTTTATTGCAGACGTTTTGCCATCCAGTGGCTTTATCAATACAAATTCCAGGACATAATTTGAAGACAGAACTATATACAGAAGATGAGGTAATCAGCCCCTCAGCCTTGGAGGTGGTGCGAAGAGCACCGTAGTTGTGGAGATTCTGGAGCAGAGGTAAGGAACCTGGCGCTTATGTACTAACGTCAGGTGGAAAGGGGACGTGTAGCAGACGAGGGCATAGTCACTGTCTTCAAATTATGTCCTGGAATTTGTATTGATAAAGCCACTAGATGGAGAAACGTCTACGATAAAGATACCAAGATGTTGCACATGTGTCTTAATTTCACCTTGTCGGTATTGTATACCGTTCTTGTATACCATTATCAAATTCGCAGTGCTCTTAGTAAAGGAGGATGGAAAGAGTAGCTCCAGTTCCTTTCAACAAAAGCCCTACACCAACCTCAAGGCTCCCTTTCCATGTTATTATTTCTTGTTTCTCCAGACTGACACGCTTCTTCTGGCACCAGTGGGAGGGTCGGTCAATTGTAGCCTGCTATGTCCCCACATACCTTTAGCTGTGCGCGTGGCAGTTCTGGAGGTGCAGCAGCGACAGCCTAGATGGGCAAGTTATTTACCTCTTTTGTCAAATACAAAGATGTGACGAATATTTGTAGAATACCACTGTAAGAGGCTGACAGGATTACCCTGGTGTGGTGGTATTTCTTTAAATCATATTATTACAGTAACCAACATCACTCTTATTGTTATCAAAAGAAGTGTTAGACCTTATTGAATTAACAACAAAATTCTATAAACAATTTATATTTTTAATATCTAATTAAAGTTTTCTGTTCGAAACCAGGAGACAATGGTGGATATGATTTTTGAGTTTGAGTTCCAAAGATCCAGTCCTTAGTTCCGAAGAAACTTTCTTCAGTTCTTAAAGTTCTATCTCTAGCTACAAAGATCTTTTCTCCGAAGTCCCTATGATGTATTAGAATTTTATGCAACACTTCGGTTTCTTTAGTGTGGAAACGTCTCGCTAACCAATGGCTTCCTCAGTTAAATACAGAGACGAACTGTTGAGAATGAGATGGAGTTGGAGGTGATCAGTACCTCAGCCTGGAGTTGATGTGATCAGTTCACCAGTCTTATCAAGCTTAATGGATTGATCACATTGACTGCAGGTTGAGGGAATGGTTACCTCAAACTCCTTCTGATCCTCAATAGTTCTTGCTTGTACTGGACTGAGGAAGCCGCTGGTTGGCGACACGTTTCCACAATGAAGATACTCAAGTGTTACACAAGTCGGTTCTTTAAACCATTTATCTACAAAGTCTCTATCTTGAATTCAGCAGACCCTTTCTAAAAATTCAGAGATCTATTTTTAGTTCCAACTCCCTGTAGTTAGTTCCAAACAGCCTTTCGTTAGTTTCAAAAGGTCATTCGTCTAAAAAATTCTTACGAAAAATAGAGAAGTTACAGTAATGTGGATGGAATAACTCATAACAAATACAGACACAGAACCAATATCATGTTTCTATATTTCTCACAATTTTGTAAAAGTTATTAAACAGTTCGAACCTTGATCTAATTTTCATAGTTTATATATAGGTTGGTTGGTAATCTTTACTTTTTTAGACATTTATTTTTTGCCCAAAAGACCCCAAATTGTTATTCAAAGATAATTTACATTTGTTTCAAAACACATTTTCCTTTTAATCTCAACTCAATTGCACCAATGACGTAAAATTCTTTCAAAAAAAAAAATAATTGCTGGTAGTAACTGTTAGTAACTGTGTTTACCAGCTGTTCTCTAATAGTAACTATATAATAATTATCAGCTGTTCCCTATAAGTATGTGTATAGACTACCAGCTGTTCCCAATTAGTAACTTCCTATTAGTAACTGTGTAGTCTCTACCAGCTGTTTCCTAATAGTACTCTAGTACCTATCAGCTGTTTCCTAATAGTACTCTAGTACCTATCAGCTGTTTTCTGTTACTATGTAATAACTTTATAGTCTATCAGCTGTCCTCTTTAAGTAGCTTATTATGATTATGTTGGGTGCAGGGAAGCGAGGAGAGGTGTACAGGTGTGGTGAGGGAGGCGCTGCTGGGGAAGGGAGGGAGGTACATCCTGCGTAGTGTGGGATGCTGGCGACGTCAGGTGCTCACTATGAGTCAGCATCTCCTCAACCCCATCACCTCGCTCAGAGGCGCTATGCTCACAACCGTCATTGTTCAGGTGTGACGACTTTTCTTTATCGTGTAAATTGTAAATCTCGGAATTTAATCTTAATAAAGAAGATTAAAAAAAAATCTCAAAAAAAAAAAAAAAAATATTTCAGTTGGTGGGCAGTCCGAGAGAAGTAGACCCGCACGGCAGTCACAGCTTTCTGTGTCTCAGTGTATATAATAGAAAAATTGTTTAGTGTGCAAGAATTTATAATGCAGATAAATATTAGAATTGAAAATTTAAAGGAATTCAGGAGAGGCATTCAAGATTTATCACCTGAAAACTAATAGCCTATTTTGTTCAATTAAAATAGGAAGTCAGGACATACTCAGCCAAAAACTAGATCAAACCTTCCAGCAAGAAACACTTGATTTGAAGCTAAACTGACGAGGCATTCTCTCGTTATCTCAGAGAGAAAAATATTCTGAAGTTCACCAGTACATTATGTTTAAAATTCATCAGAAGATGCATAATCACATTACAAGTAGTATTCAAATTATTCCAGTTTCTTCAAGAAAAAAAAGAAAGCTAAGACATGCACAGGCTAAAATTAATATGAAGTTTTCTTTAACAAGACTGACCAATGAAGTTAGTGGATGTTGATAAAAAGCAATCTTAAAAGAACTACATCTATTTCGGCGCTCTGAGATCCCAGAAAAGTATCTTCATAATGAATAACCTCAGCCTCTTGTGCGCTAATGCGCTCAGATATTATTACTGAGGATTTAAAGCAAATCACGTATGGTATTTACAAGTTATCTCAAGTACACAAATAAACAAATTTTTTCAATGAAAATAGCAAATTAGGTCAAAGTCAACTTTAAGATAATTCAGACCTTCCAATAAGAAACATTAGCTTTGAAGCTAAAATGTTGAGGAATTTTCTTGCTATCCTAGAAGGAATAACGTGCACCAACACATTAGATTGATGCCGCTCACAATTTTCAGTATCAAGTTATAAGTGTTGAATGACTCACGAAATCGTAATGACATGATTGCAAACAAACCATACCACGGGTGGGGATAGAACCCGCGATCAGAGAGTCTCAAAACACCAGACCGTCGCATTAACCACTGGACCAGCTAGCTGCAATAAGATTCGTCCAACTAGGTATATTTCTACACTATAGGAAGGTTAGCATAGGCACCACTGTGACCACAAATGCAAGTTTTTACAGCGTGGCCGTGACGAACTCTAGCTTTGAGGGGACTTGAGCTAGAGTTCGTCACGGCCACGCTAGCTGGAGATTCTATTCCCACCCGTGGTATGGTTTATAAGTGTTCAAGTGTGAAAGGAATTGGATGACATGCCATGAAAGGTGAATCAACAGCCCCTGTAGAGGATGACATATCTTATTATATTTTTTGAACTTTAAAGCAAGTTCCTGAAAACCTGTAGCATCATTGTGTCTATCCCGAAGTTGCAACATCCTGAAACATTTAGACTAATCTCCTTAACTAGATGTCTAAGATCATTATGACAACGAAATATGAATCCCAGGTTATAACCAATTCAGATGCGACAGACTAAACAGGCAACAAGGGGAGGGGAAGGGTTTGGCCTGTACATCACAGACCTCTTCAAGGGGGGCTCCTTGGCGTGGTGAAGAGGCTCTTGGTCTGAGGAATTAGCCCTGTCGGTCTTCTTCCTCAGACCGAACCTAATTACCCCCCATTCTCCCCTCCCCTATCCCATCCTCCCCATCCTCCCCTTTTTCCATTCCTCCTCCTCCTCCTCACCCCTCCCTTTTGCCCTTCCTCTTTTTAGCCTTCGTGATTTCTCCCACAGGCGCGCTAGTTCCTAGGTAGGGGAAAGGACCCCGGGGGGTCCATCCCATTCCGTTGAGGTTTCTTGGCGGTGGCGTAGTTTGCCGTGGAATCTGGATTGCCTAGGATGTCCCGATCCCTCTCCGGTATCCCGGAGTAGCTTTGGGTGTCTTTGGGCGACGGGTGTATCTCTGGAAGCCACCTTTCGGTTTCCCGGGGGGTGGTGGTGAAGGAGGTATGCTTTGGGGCGGATATCCGGCGCCCCTCTTTTGTCCACCGAGGTAGCTCGGCAGATTGAGGTTGCTACCCCAGATTGCTGGTTTACTGGCATGAAGGTAGGGTATGGCAGGGGTTCCATGCTGCATCTGCGCTACTAGCGGTGTCGAGTCCTCTTGGGCGGGGAGGGAGTTTTTCTGGCCCTTTCATTCCTCCTAGGAACTATCCCTCCCCGGTCCCCCTTTTTTTTTCTTTTTTTGTTTTTATTTTCTTTTTCTTCTTTCTTTTTTTTCTTAAAAACAAAAAGAAAGAAGTAACCTAACCATGGCACCCCTAGTCCATGAACCTAGTACCCCCGGGCCCTTCTTGATACCGCACCCGTTCTGACCCCGCCTCGTCTTTGGACCACTCTTCAGAATTCCTCATGCCTCTGTACCTATTGCCGGTGCTGTTTCCTCACCGCTTCGGGTACTGAGGCCTCGACTGAATCCTTCGATTTATCAGACCTTCGCTCTCCTCTGACTATGCTTCGGCCTCTCCTCTACGGTGCGGCAATTTTCAATCGCCGCCCCGTTCCACGTGGACCAACTCTGGTCCCACGCCTAAACGTCAACGCCCAATTACCTGCTGATGATACTTCTCCACCTTCACCTTCTCGTTCTTCTCAGAAACGATTGACACGTCCTTCACTACCTTTCCACGCTCAGTTTCAGACTGAACAGTGGACTAAATTTTCTTCACTTTACGACCAACTTCCTCTACTGCCTATCTTTCTGACCATAGTATTGGCAAGGCACTCTACCCTGTTGGTAAGATATTTCTTTTCATGCTCTTAAGAGCGGTACGCGCATCATTACCGTACGAATGCTACCCAGGCTCGTGAGCTCTCTCGTTTTTCCCCATATAGATACTGTTCCTGTCACCCTTGAAAAACATCATTCCCTCAATTCTTGTAGTGGTACCGTTATTCGGGCCCCATACCATAGTTCAACAAAATTTCCGACATGTGGAAACCGACATTCTCGAACAGCTGGAACTCCAAGATCTCCAATCCTCAAGGTAGACACTACGTTTCTTCCTGCCCGTGGGCGGAGACGATACCCTAGCAATGTGGCTCGTTTAACTTTTGACAGCCGAGAACTCCCATCCCCGTTTATATAGCAGGACATCGGTTACAAGTTCGAAAGGTGATCCTACACCACAACAGTGTAGAAATTGCTGGCGATTTGGCCATCCAGCGAAATATTGCAGATCTATCGCCGAATGCCCCGTTTTGTGGTGCCGATGACCTTCTAATACGTCTTGCAATCGATTCCCTCTTGCCTTAACTGTCATGAGGCTCACCCTTCGTACTCTCGCCGTTGGGCAGGTCTATTTAAAAAGAGCGGGAAATCCCCTTACCTCAAAGAGACAGAAGGTCTCCCTTATGCCATGGCAGTTTCTCATCTCCGCCCCCAAGGGAGACCCCCCACGTGTTTCTTATTCCCGTGTTTCAAACGTCCCCCCCCCTTCTGGTATCCCATCTTTACACCCACCTCTGTGGTTACCTCTCCCATAATCACCCTGTACTAATCCTTTGCTGTCCTCGGCTCAGACGTCCCTACTTCAACGCCTCAGTCTAATCTCGCTTCTTCGAG